GCTGCGAGGGAGTCGTGTCCGAGCTCAAACAGGTCGACTCGAAGTACACCAAGAAGATCCAGCACATGCAGCAGCAGCATGACATGGTACAAAACTCTAAACTCATGATAAACTACAGCTCCTGTCACAACAAAACTCTAAACTCATGATAAACTACAGCTCCTGTCACAACAAAACACCACACTAATGGGTCAGTCCGTATGAAATCAGCTGCTCTCCCCTATGAGCCATCTCAGATTTAGCTGAAAAAAAATTCAAAAAAATTCTAAAATGATCAAATGAAAGACTCTAAAACTTTAGCTCAGTCACTTGAGTTGTTCCTGAGTTATGGCCTGTTGAAATTTTGGGGCCCTGCTCACTTTTTTTGAAGCCTTATTTTATAAACATGTTTGAGAGACCAGAACTTGATAAAAAATAGAGCCAGGAAGATGAAAATTTAGATTATTGTAGATTCTTGGTCATAGATTCTGAGTCTGTTGTCAAATATTGTGTCTCTTTATTAAGGGGGGCGCTGTGGGTCCCCAAAATCTCACATTTGGTTCCTGCTCAATTTTTGAGGTCCAAGATCTGTTTACTCCAAGCAGATATTTACAAACTGTTGAACCTGAATATTTGAGAGAATGAACATTTCTGACACAATCTCACACTTTTCTGAGTTTTCATGTGGACGGTGTCGAGTCTCAAATATCGTCACAGACCAAATGTGATCTTTTTGGTTCCTTCTTTGGCCCCTCAGTTCCACATGTGGCACTGTTAGATGTTGATCAGATTTTTACCAGAGAAACTTTGGCATATTCTGATTAGTTTAAATCAGGAGTGTCAAACATACGGCCCAGGGGCCAGATCCGGCCCTCCAAGACCTTTAATCTGACCCTCGGCTGATTTGCAACTAAAATATTTTAATTATATTTTCTTTTAAAATATTGTTAATTTTCTGTGGTGTTTATCACAGCAGCGTCTCCAGCGCCTCTGTACGTGGCCCCTCCCACCAGAGCAGCACAAATGAAGACTTGAACTTCCTTCATGTCAAACGGAATTTTTTAAAATGAGCTCTCATGGGTCATTTTTGGTGGAGCTTAGGAACTTTTCCAGCTAATTGAAAGGTTAAATTACCTTTAATAGACTTAAACACTATTTGCTTGTTATAAGGGAAGATAATTGGAGATTATTTGTGGTACATTGTTTGGAAAAGTGTCATTAATCCTTTGACAAAATTCAACTATTAACTCAAAATTAAGGAAAAAGGTTTGTTTGCATTATTTATTCTGATTTTATTTGAGGAAGATAATTTGTTATTTCACAAAGAAACAGCTTTTCATGGTGTATAAGTAAAACAACAAAAGTTAAGATAGTATCGATGGAGTCATTGTCTGTTAAATCACAAAGTCTCTGATTCTTTTAGCTTCCTAACTCAATTTTTTCTGAAGTTCTGGTCTCTCAAACATGATTATAAATTAAGACTTCCGAAAAAGTGAGCATGGCCCCAAAATTTCATCAAGCCATAAGTCAGGAACGACTCAAGCGACTGAGCTAAGATTTGAGATTCATTCATTTGGTCATTTTAGAATTTTTTAGAATTTTTTTCCAGTCAAATCTGAGATGTTTCATAGGGGAGATTCCTTGAAAACGTCAGATTTCATACAAACTGACGCGAATGTAAAACTACAGCTCCTGTCACAACAAAAACACAGCACTAAAAAACTTCAGATAAATATTTACTGACACTAAAGCCGTAGATGAAAAATGTGTTGTAATGAAGAGATGTGAGTCTGTCTCTGAGCCTCTGATGTTTCTCTCTTTAAACTCTTGGTTTTGTGTTTCTCTCCTCCCTCCTCTGCTCTTCTCTTCTCCTTTTGTTCTCCTTTGCTCCCTTGCTTTGTTTCTGCCTTTCTTCTGGTGTCCTTTCTCATCTATCCTCCATTGTCTCCTTCTCTTCTCCTCTTCGCTCTTTCCTCCTTTGTCTCCCCTCCTTACTTTTCTCCTCGTCTCCTCGCTCGTCTCCTCCTTTCCTCTCCTCTTCTCCTCGCTCATCTCTTCCTTTCCTCTCCTCTTCTCCTCGCTCGTCTCCTCCTTTCCTCTCCTCTTCTCCTCTTCTCCTCGTCTCCTCGCTCGTCTCCTCCTTTCCTCTCCTCTTCTCCTCATCTCCTCGCTCGTCTCCTCCTTTCCTCTCCTCTTCTCCTCGTCTCCTCGCTCGTCTCCTCCTTTCCTCTCCTCTTCTCCTCGTCTCCTCGCTCGTCTCCTCCTTTCCTCTCCTCTTCTCCTCTCCTTGCTCGTCTGCTCCTTTCCTCTCCTCTTCTCCTCGTCTCCTCGCTTGTCTCCTCCTTTCCTCTCCTCTTCTCCTCTTCTCCTCGTCTCCTCGCTCGTCTCCTCCTTTCCTCTCCTCTCCTCGCTCGTCTCCTCCGTTCCTCTCCACTTCTCCTCGTCTCCTCGCTCGTCTCCTCCTCTCCTCCCCCGTCTCCTCTTCTCGTTTCTCGCTTTAGGTGTGGCAGGTTCTGGGTCCTTTGTGTGAGGTAACTTTTCTTTTGTTCTCCACATGAATCCCTCCTTCATTTCTCCTCCTCTGTCGCTCTCTGTCGTTCACTGAACACGCTCCTTTTGCACGTGAGCCGGTCCGTCCGTCCGTCCTCGCTCTGCTCTAGATGATCTGTAGTCGTGTGCATGTGCTTGTGGAATGCAACGCTCCAAAAACCATCTCCGTTTGTGTTTTAAAACGACTCCAGCTCAGAGAGAGTCTAAACGAAACATAATATTACGCTTTTTTTCTGAGCTGATCTTGTTTCGTCGTCACAAACGGACCCGGAGTCGTGTTTTGTTTCATTAAAAAAAACTCCAAACACCTTCACTAGAATCATTTGGATCATTTCATTTCAGTCCTGGAAGTTCCAGTCTCTACCGAACAAAACGTAAAAAGAGGTGTTCACTTGAAAACAACCGCTTCATAACTAGGGCTGTGCAAAAATATTGAAATATCGATATATCGTATTGTTTAATGTGATGATACAGTATCAATATCATGGGCTTCTGTATCGATATATCGCCAAGAGAATTTTTTGGTACACCATAATTTTCGGACTATAAGGTGCACTGGATTATAAATTGCATTAAGAGAAACAAATGGACGACACTTGAGACTGATCCCTTAGTCCACGATGGTGAATGTGGATAATGAATGTGAATGTGGGTTGATCATTTAAAGGTTGTATAGAGGATTTTCCAAGGAACGAGAAATCCAGCGACTGTTTGTCCTTTTTCAAATGTTGCGCATGTGTGAAACCCCCCCCCCCTCCCCTACAGCTCCTACGTAGAAACGCCTCCTCCCTCCTCCTCCTTACGCCAGAAACAGGTTTGTTTCTAGCAAACAAGTACTCATCACTGCACATGACTTGTAAACAACTAACTACAGTGTTGGTTAGGCAAGACAGAGAAGTGAGGAGCGGGGGGAGGGGGTGCGCGGAAAAGAAGTGAGGAGCAGGGAGAAGAGCAAAACAGGGAGCGGGGAGAGGAGCAGTAAGGGGTGCAGAGAGGGGTGAGCGGAGATTCAGTGCGAATGAAGCTACTACTACAACACGCAGCTGCAGCTGCTTTGCATTGAAAATTACATTTTCAGACATAGGATATCACATTCGTGTCCTGAAAAACGTTTGTCTAACTCTTGGAAATAAAGTACGTTTTCATAATAAGCAGAAGTTTCCTGTCCAGGAGTAATTTGTGGACCAGTGCGTCAGTCTTTAGACCCTTCGTCTGCTTCAGTCGCGCCATCGCTGGAATGAATCTCCAAGAATCACCTTAGTTTGGCTTCGCTGCTTTTCCCCTTGTCTTCTTCTTTCAGCGACCTCAAAAACAGACTTTCTTTTGCGGCGAACTGCTCCTGGATTCTTGTTGCCATTGCAACAAACTTTGTGCGAACTGCGAGGAAGATATAGGTCAAAAACGCCGCTAAGAACTGTTGCGTTGGTGGAGTAAACAGCCTCTGTGCGTCTTGCGTCTGTGGACTGCGTGACAGTCGTACGTAAACCACGTACCGGCGGCGCAGGCAAGTCAGTTACACTAGAAACGTAGGGAGTTTGATTGACAGCCTGTCAGCTCACAGATAACGAGGCAGTGTCGTTATCTATTGGCAAATGTTTAGCCCACCACATCCAGAGTTGATGAATTTTTATTCTCTTTTTTTTGGTCATCATAATTACAAGGCGACTTCATCTATAATCTATCACTGACAATTTGAAACAAAAAAAATCCTCCATACAACCTTTAAGTTTGTTTTTTTATTTCCTACAAGGACGATTCAAATATATACTGAGTTATAATGTGTTTAATGCAGCTTTGCCACATTTGTTTACGTTTTACAGAAACGAAACTAAAAACCTCATGGCTCATTTGCATAAACTATAAGCACTAAAAAAAACAGCTCACTTCTTGTGCGCCGATGCGGTTCAGCTTCTGTCGGACTAAAGGACACGACTCCGCAAGGCTCCTGACTACAGTAGCCATAATACTCCGACAATCCATCAAGCGGTGCAGCTTCGTAGTTTACCAGAGTCATACTAAAACAGATTTTTGAGGGCTGTGTACCAAATAAAATCAGTTCCAGGTCACTAAGCACAACCAGAATTTATATGTAAGGCGCACTGTCGATTTTGAAAAAATTACAGGGTTTTAAGTGCGCCTTATTGTTCGAAAAATATGGTATTTTACTAAATTATTTTGTTGCAGCTACAATTTTGTTGCTTGTTTAGAGGAAGGAAACTCTTAGACTTTTAGTGTCACAGCCAAGATTTAGCCTTTATTTATTTTTTAACCATATCAAATCGATTTGAAATATATTATATCGAATCAAATGCTCACTGTATCGAGGTCTGTATCATATAGGGAACTACTTAAAGATACCCAGCCCTATTCATGACATCACAAAGTGGAACAGAGCGATTTGGAGCTTTGGGGATGTAGACAGACTAAAAATAAAGAGTTACTCAAACATGTGAATGAAACAAAACACAACT